GGGGTGGGGGGGGGTGGGAAATGAGGCCAGCCCACTATTTTTTAAACCTTGAACTTTTTCGTAGAACCTTTACTTTTGAGCTATTTCTAGCCATTTGCAGTAATTTTATCAACACATTTCATGCTATGAAATGATTGCAATAGCTTCAGATAAGAGTGTCATAGTTAGACCGAATTTCTTCTCATAGGAGGTGGGTTGGAGGGGGTATCAAAGACAAATTTCACAGTAGTTACATGCTCCCATTTTGAAGGGCAGCTCTGTTTTCTCAGGAAAGCACACCTTTTTTGAAGGGTTGCCTGGTACTTTCTTTTTTTTTTTTTTTTTTTTGAGACAGAGTTTTGCTCTTGTCGCCCAGGCTGGAGTGCAGAGGTGTGACCTCGGTTCACTGCAACTTCCGCCTCCCAGGCTTAAGCGATTCTCCTGCCTCAGCCTCTGGAATAGCTGGGACTACAGGTGCCTGCTACCATGTCCAGCTAATTTTTTGTATTTTTAGTAGAGATGGGGTTTCACCATGTTGGCCAGGCTGGTCTCAAACTCCTGACCTCAGGTGATCCACCTGCATCGGCCCCCACAAAGTGCTGGGATTACAAGCATGAGCCATCGCACTGGCCTGCCTGATACATTTTATTCCTCTCTTCTCTCCCTTCACACATATGGATGTCAAGCATCAGCAGAGCAGTTAGAGTCTTAGATTAAATTATATCTAAGATTTCTGCAGGAAGGAGGTCGTTACCACCCCAGAGGTCCCAGTCTCTGATGGGAGTGAGGAATATCCAGGAATGCATCTGTGATGCCCACTGCCATCCTCACTGGGTGATTTTGAAACTCAGTCTTTCTTATTTCCCATTGTTGAACTTTTCCCTTTTGTTAATATCAGGTTTCTCAATGCTTTACGTCCTCTTGGAATTACAGGATCTGTAGAAATAAAGGTGTCAATATCCCATCCAGCCTTGCCACCCCGAGACTCAAAGCCAAACAGCATCCAGCACACAAATCTCACAGTTAATTCATATCCAATCTGACACACACAAACGTAGAACATTTTTTTCATCTCAGGTAGCCTGGAAGAAGCAAAAATGTGAATATCTTTTTGCATACGTGAATAGGGTCTTCGAGAGACATTTATACTATTTTCAAGTCATATCTACTTCTTTCAGGCTCCAGATGATTTAAGGAGGGATAGTAGGATGGGGACAGGAAATGTGCAAAACGTTCCTGCAGATAAAAACTTCCTCTTAAAAAAAAAAAAAAAACTTCCTCTTAGCCAGGCACAGTGGCTCACACCTGCAATCCTAGCACTTTGGGAGGACAAGGTGGGAAGATCACTTGAGCCCAGGAGTTAGAGACCAGCCTCTATAACATAAAGATCCCATCTCTACAAAAAAATTTAATAATTTAACTGGGTATGTTGGCACATACCTATAGTCCCAGCTACTCAGTAGGTTGACATGGGAGGATCACTTGAGCCTGGGAGGTTAAGGCTGCAGTGATCTATGATCAAACCACTGCACTCCAGCTTGGGCGACAGTCTAGGTTTTAAAACGAAGAGGTCTACAATACTCTCAGAAAAAGCATGTCTCTCTCTCTCTCTCTCTCTCTCTCTCTCTCTCTCTCTCTCGGGACATGGTCTCACTCTGTAGCTAGGTAGGACTGCAAATCCGTGTCACCACACCAGGTTAATTTGTTTCGTTTTGTTTGAGATGGAGTTTTTTTGCTTTTGTCACCCAGGCTGGAGTGCAATGGTGGGATCTTGGCTCACTGCAACCTCCACCTCCCAGGTTCAAGCAATTCTGCCTCAGCCTCCAAAGTAGCTGGGATTACAGGCGTGTGCCATCACGTCCAGCTAATTTTTGTATATTTTAGCAGAGACGGGGTTTCACCATGTTGGGCAGGCTGGTCTTGAACTCCTGACCTCCAGGGAACTGTCTGCCTCGGCCTCCCAAGGTGCTGGGATTACAGGCGTGAGGCACCACACCTGGCCTGCTAATTTGTTTTTTAAAATTTTTTGTCAAGATGAGGTCGCACTCTGTTGCCCAGGCTGGTCTCAAACTCCTGGCATCAAGCAATCCTTCCACCTTAACCTCCCAAAGTTTTGTGATTAGGGCATCAGCCACCATGCCTGGCTCTTAAACAGCATTTCTCTTAAAGTTCATTTCAAATTCCCTAAGGCATGGATAAGAATTATTGTAATATAAGACATTAATTTATAAAAACTGTTTAGAAATTGGCTCTCGGCAAATAATGTTTACCTCTGATAGTCTTTGCAGATATTAGTTTTGGCTGAAAAGTTATGAAAGCGATCTCAGGAAGGGTGCAGGAGCTTCAGCATTGTACAATAATCTAATAATCCTGGATATGCTCTTGTTTTCTAAAGTTGCTTCACATTGAAGAACATATGCCAAGGAGATTTCACAATAGTAATTTTTATGGTCAAATTAAGCAGGGAGAAGGTGAGCTATTAGCGGAGACAAGAAGCCTCTGATTAAAACTAGATTTATATAACTTGGATCTGGTTTCAAATAGATGTCATCAGAACTTAGAGATATAACTTGGAGGTACCTGAGAATCAAAATTCTAAGCCATTAATAGGACTACAAATACTTAGAAAAAAAGGGCAATGAAGGAAGGGACTAGAAATTCTTTAGCTGAGAATACAAGGGTCTCCCTTGAGATAGGTGTGAAAGGTGGCTTCTTAAAGGGAGAAATTACTGTAAACATATACAAAATAGAAGAACAGAGTTTGATTTGACTTTTTTTCAAAAAAACAGACATTTGCCTGAATTCTGACCATGGGGTGTTATATTTAAAATTGGGCATGCTTTGAGCATATGTGGATGTATTGTTTTTCTACCCAATCATTGGGAGCTGGTACCTCTAGGAATTGTTGAAAACATGAAGGTAAAATATGGTGCTTAAATAGAATCCTGGCCAGATGCAGCAGCTCACATGTATAATTTCAACACTTTGGGTGGCTGAGGCCAGAGGATCACTTGAGGTCAAGAGTTTGAGACTTTCCTGAGTAACATAGCAAGACTCTGTTTCTACAAATTTTTAAAAAAAATTATCCTGTAGGCCCAGCTACTTGGAAGATGATGCAGGAGGATGGGTTGACCTCAAGAGTTTGAGGCTGCAATGAGTTATGATTATACCATTGCACTCCAGCCTGGGCAACACAGCAAGACCCAGTCTCTGAAAATAAATGAATAAACAAATGAAAATTGAGTTCTTTACTGGATTTCCTAATTGATAAATCCAACTTTGTCTAGTTCAAATTTCTGTAGCCCAGGGACTCCTACTGATGGAAGTAGGGGAGTTAGTTAGTACAAAGTGGTGCCTAGACCTTGGAACAGGGCTCTCAAACCTTGAGTGGAGGCTGTCTGGAGGCAGTAGATATCATAGCATAACCCTCATCACAAACTCCTCTTCCTGAAAATGATGCAATTGAGGGGATTCATCTGAGAGCTTCCTAATGCTCCCTTCCAATTAGTCAAGGCAGTAGGGTGACCCAAAGAGAATGCACCCTTTGCCTCAGATAGCTCCTTTTTCTTAGCAGGCACTTTCTCATATTCCTTTGCAAGTGAGATGAACATTCATGAGTTCTGCAGTAAAGTATGGTAACCACAGGGAACCAATCCTGTCATTTCATGCCACTCTTCCAAGCAATGAGCCTTTCTCTTTCTAGAGGGCATGCAATTTAAAGGAAGACACCATGGCATTCTTTTTTGAGCTGAAGGGGCCTTTCACAGCCACCCAATGCACTCTCTCCATTTTACAGATGAGGGGATGCA